CCCAGCAGCTTCAACTGAGCGTCGCCGAGTGTCCACCTGCGCGGCGCAGCGTGTCCGCACCCCCTTATCTCCAGCTAATAAATACCAGATGGTTTTGTTTTCAGGTTTTTGAAATGTCATCAGATGTATCTAAAGCTGAACTTCTTGATACCCTAGCTGTACCTCTTCGATCGGATACAGTTGAAGTGCCTGAGTATCATGTAAGAAACTTCTTGTGACTTCAATGGGATCGACGCTTTCGAAGACTTTCTCAGCTAGCCGCTGTTTCGTGTTCTTTTTTCAGGAGTTCTTTGGCGAGGAAATTCGTAATGGTACTGTAGATAAGAAGAAATATGTGGAGTACAGCAAGAATAAGGCGGAAGCTGTCAAGACCAGGTCTGACAACTGATAAGCTCTTGTGACTATTGTGTTTGTTGGGAAATGGGCGCAGTTTGGCCAGAGGGGGCATTTTGCACTTTCGCTACTTCCAATCGACGTGTTCATTGCTTTACAAGAATTGACAAGCAGTTTCTGCAAACTTTGGCTAGTATCAGCTCTACCTTCACAAGTTTTCACACGTCCCCACTTTATGACTCTACATGTCCCCCTTCCTTCCTAGCCTAGCATTCCTTAGAGACTTCATCTAGTCAAAACTGGACTAGAATAACTGTCTATCGCTGTTCTTTCTCACGTTTCCCAATAAACGCTATCCAAAGAGGGGAGGGGGGGGGTGCAGTAAGAGGTTGCCTTTAGTCGTACTTCTAAGGAATTCCCTTGCGTATGAACAGCCTTTCTTGTCAATGGAGTTGGGGGGGGAAGAGACGTGACTAGGCACGATCCATGCTGTCCACTTCCGCCACAGGTACGGCTAAGACTGAGCTTCTCACGGGAAGGGTCATTACCTTGATGGCGCAGACGAGCAGGCTCAGCTGCGTTGCTGTGGAAAGCTGCACTCTTATTCTGGTGTTAATGTACTTTAGAAGAGGCTGCTAGGCCGCCGGCAACTCCAGCCTCAGCGCTTGAGGATAGGAATGGGTGTCATCTTGAACGATAGAAGTTCTAAAATGCGGCGCGCTCCAGCTGCGTAAGGCTGAAATAGGGCTCAACTACCCTTATTTCTACGTATTTATAGGGCTACTTCCTATTGGGCCTATTAGATTTTAAGTTTCTATTTATCACGACAGACCCTGTACCGAATTCCATTGTTGAAAGGATTGTGGCGCTTTTCGGCTTGGTGGGGGCATTTTAGGCGTGTACACGATCTTCTGCGCCGAGATTTCCTTGAATATCTCTGTGGAATTCCTGTTAGGCTATGCATTGGCAGAAGCTTTGTTTACACTTGATAAAAGTCTACAAGCTTCGCCAGACGTGTAATTTAACAGGAACTAGGAAAAGGGGAACTAGCGTAAGTGCAAAATGCCGCCTCCCGATGCCGGAAAACGCCGAACTTCCTAACAACTTAATTTTTTCCACGCTTATCCCAGATGGTTAACGGATTTTATTCTGTTCAGTGGAAGTCTAATTGCAGAAATTCTTAAGGAATGAACTGAATTCATTGTGGTGTTGGATGAAATATCGTATAGTGCTGGCAAGGCATTTTCGCGGACCGGACATAACGAATTATTTTCCCCAACATAATGGATTTTCGGTGGAGCGGTGTTTATTCCCTATTTCGCCGTACCTGAGTCACATGGGTGATGACGTCAATCGATGTATACTAAAGTTTGCTAAAGGTACGAGATCCTAGAGAGGCGCAGGCGTTTTATAGAACCTTATGAAAAAAATGTACTCCATTTTGGTAGCCTGCTATGGTATAGCTTTTTAAAGTCACATTCCAAGTTGCTCGCATGGGAGGAGCCAGACCTGTCATTGCGCCTCTCTTAATGGTGCAACCCCTTCTAATTACCGTTTCACGGAGGGGAGCTCACCAGTGAAGAGAGTACATGAATCCGATTCCATCCATATGACCAACGTGGAAAGTGCCTTTGAATAGCTGCTGCGAGATGATAACCAATCGATAGCTATAAATTGCAGGGCGCCCATTAGGAGATCGCGGTCTGTACTGGTTGAAACTCCACTGTATAAACCTCACGGGTAAAATGAAGAGGGACAGCATCAAAGATCGTATCATTGCTGCAGATCAACAATTGGATGACATATTGGATTCAGCTAACCATCCGCTTGACGGTAAGCGTTCGTTTAACTTCAGAATATGTGGGGTAGGAAGGGGGTGCCGACAGACCTCTCAGCGTGTCGCGTTGGTTTCGAACAATGATGAAGTGCTTTAGGAAAGGGATGGTGGCTGGAGTCAGAAGAGCCTTGGCAGACGTTAGCGGCATGTATGGAAATTCGTGATGCACTCGCTTTTCCAGGAAAGACTGAGGATTTCGTGAGGTCAGTTCTATCTATTTTCAGATTTTTGGCAGAAAAATGGGTGGTTTTCTGTCTACCTGCCCTTTACTGCCCCACCTTTTGAAATTCGGGGTAAATTTTTCGAAGATAGCGGGCACGATTGCTGGGGGCGGGGAGTTGTCGCGAACGCCATCGTCGGTGTAAGGTGGTAATTGCCCGCCCACAAACCACCTTACTCATTGCCTTCGAAGTAGCTT